ACACTTGTCTATTTGCCGACCGAGCTGTCCGTCTATCCATCTGTTGAGTTATATACATCTTCTCTTGTGATTTGGCCCATTCGCGTCTGTCTAGCTATCCCTTGCTCCATTGACCTATTCGCTCTCTCTCTTTTGAGTCCAGTAATGTTCTTTCTCACCGCCTTATTCAACTGTCGCAGCAGCAGTTCGTCGTGATTTCCTAAAATGTTGCGAAGCCGACCTTCTGCTAGCGTCCCGGCACAACTTCTTCCCCGTTCTGGTGAAGAGAAGCAGGCCAGTACCATTCGTTGCTCTAATTCCTTCCCTTCCCCCCTTTCTGGCCCAGAAGCACAGCATGTCGGCTACCCGGCTACTCCCATCGAAGCATCCTTTGTCTGCGCCCAGTATTATTGCGTAACCCCAATTTCTGTCTCCTTCGTCTATGTGAATTGTATGTGTGTCTAAAAGGAAAAAGGAAGGGGCTGATAGTGCATTCAAATGTGATACCCAAATCGCGTCTTCCGCAAAATCCGCCAAGTTTTCAGGACTCAAGCTTGTAAGGTATTCACCAAACCCATAACTTAGAAGCATTCTTGTAGCGTTGGATGGCATAATGAAAGGAATAAGAGATACGACAATATACTGGCCGGCCTCTTGTCCATGCAAACACACACATACATACATACACACATCAATTCATACGTAGGTACACCAGGAATATTTCTGTTTGATTTAGAAGGCAGCCGAATATACGAGAGGAGCAGATTGATGTAAAGTGTAGGGTATAAACAGAGAAAGGGAGTCGACTGAAAGGAGAGGAGAAAAAGAGAGAGGGATAGAGAGGGAGCTGTGTGACTAAACTATGGATGAAAATTCTGGCCGAGAATTCTCGTTCTCAAAATTGAAATCGGCCAATTTCAGCAGCAGAACATTTTCTAACTAAACGAGGTCGAGGCATAAAGGCTAAAAAGTGAAACAGATGTACACTCTTAGCTGACCATTCACTTTTCAACGCCAACCCTGGTTACACACGCGCACCAAGTTTACTTTCGTGGAGGCATGGTTGGCTATTGTGCGTAAACACATTGTGAGGAGTGAACACTTCTGGAACAACCATTTTTCATTGTTCGCTTTCTTCTGACTATTACGTCCATTGATGCTAAGTCCTTCGTCTAACCAGCCAAAAGGGACGGAATTAAATAAAATGCTTACTTGCTTGAGGAGGACGGTGGAAAGAAAGGGAGCGAGAAGAAGATGGAATACTGAAATAGGGGGTAGTAGTAGTAGTGCATTGAATTAGATTGATTCTTGTTAAAAAAGCAATAGCTGGAATGTGATATAATTGTTAAAGCTGGGGCAGAGTCAAAAGTAGTGAGAGGAAAAGATAGAGTTTAAGGGATGTAAAGGAGGATGCATGCAATGAATAAAGAATACAAAATATTCTCGGAAAATGAATAATAGTGGTTTAGCATATAGAAATGGCAACAAACAATGAATCATTGTAGATACGAAGAGAAACTTGCTTTCGATGAATCTCCTGAGATAACATTGTTAGTGGGGACCTTCATTTCGAATGAAAGTACATGAAGAAGAGATTCCTTTCTCGATCTCACCAGATGAGGACGGATGAAAATCGTTGTACTGCAGCCGTTTAGCTTTTATATTATAT